GTTTGGATCCAACCTTGATCTTTGTTGACCAAAAAACCATCAAAGCACAGTGAAAATTCTTTCGCAATTTGCTGAATGCAGTACAATGCTTAATAAATTAAGAGCAATTGTCTGAATAAAAGGTGGTTTTTCAACACATGTTTGCCACCAAGTGACAGGTGTATCTCTTAAAGGATCAAATGGAGGTTTATTTAGCCAATATCTACGAAGCTGAGCTATTAAACAATTAACTGCTGATGTGTTATAACCAATTTTTTGCAACAAATCACCAGCAAACAAACAATTCTCTCTAAATATATTATCTTGTAATCCGCATCCTTTAAAATTTAAAAATTTTATAAATAATTATTTAATAAAAAATTTTTGCAGATACATTTTTACCTACCATGATACTTTGGGTGGAGAAAATATGCTAAAAGAAATAACTTGTGTTCAAATTGGACCCATCTCTCATTAAATTTGTCAATACAATAATTATGAAAATTTTGATAAGTATTGTTGGTAATAGCTGGTATATAATATGGGGCATACTGCAATAAAACCAGACAAAGTGAACATTGGTATTACCAAGGATTTCAGGGATCAAAATTTAGTTACTATCATCACAATTAGTTTATAATGTCCCAATTTGTTAAGTAATATACTATAATACTCCTATATAAAAATAGCTAATATGAATTGCATCTGCTGAATGTACTGTAGCATGTGATTGATGTATTTAAGGTTTTACATAAATATCCAATTGCCTTCTCTCAGTAATGACTAAACTAAATGAAACAGGAAAATTTAAAGTGATGTTGCTGGCATAATTATAAAATTGGAAATAAATTGAAATCAAAAGATCAATCAATTGATAAATTATTTAGAAATTGCATCATTTGTGAAAATTAAATTCTTTTATTGTAAAAAAATAAACATAAGCTTAAAAAAAATAATGACAATTATATATATAATATTAATAAAGTAAACTTCTAATGTATAATAAAAATATTTTTCCAAAGTCAATTAAAAAAATGGCCATTTTTTGTTGAAATAGTAAAGGATAGCAAAACGCAATGATCAGTGTTCGAAATTCGATCTGCAAGAATTTTTTTGTGCACATCCAAATTATCCTAAAAAAAAAAATTTTTTTCTGATTTATTTTTTTTAAATTACAAAAATTACTTCTAAAAAAAAATTCTTCTACTTTTTTTATTTATCCAATGTTCATATGCATTCTCAAAATTAAAATCCTCAATATCAGGTCCATTTAATTTAATAATTAAATGTTTATTTAATGTGCTAATATTCATTTTGTTTCTTATTTTATCCTTAATTAATTTTGTTTGAGAAAATATTCTTTCAACATTAGCATTTGAAAGAGGAATAATAAGTGCTATTTTAACTAGAAGAGCTATATTTGGATAATTAAATGAAAAATCCTCATTTGAATCAAAAATATTTTTCCAGAAATTAATAAAACCTGTTTCTGTGAGTTTATTACAACAGAGAAAATTTTTTACTAAAGGCCATTCTTCATTAAGTGTATCTTTATGAATAATTTCTTGGAATTCATCTCCATCTATGATTTTAATTTCTCCATAAAATTTACCAAGAAATTCTATTTCTTTATTTCCATATAAGTCTAGTTGGTTATCATCATCTGGAATTTCTTTTGGATCAAAAATGCTAAATGAGCCATATAATTCAGATTGTGGAAATCTTTTTTTAATAGCATTAATTATTGCAATTGAATATTCTTTTACAAATAGTGGAGGATCATGTTGATTTTGATTTAAATAATTCTTGAAGATTAAACCATTTTTAGGTGGAAAATCTTCATTACCAATAAATTCACACTCTATTTTACCAATTGCAATATCAAGTTCTGTTTTAAATTTAGAGAATGATAAAAAATCCAATTGAAATATATTGATTAATTTTTTTAGAATATCTGTTAAATCAGCAAAGTACATTGTTGCTAAAATAAAATCTTCATCTATCTGGTTGTATAATGATTCAGCTTGTATATCACCTTCTTCAACTCCTTCATTGAGGGCTGCAAGTACTGAATCCATTATTCTATATAAATTCCCCACAGAGTTGGAAAAAGACAACCATCTGGTATCACATAAGTTTAATATTACTAATGATGGTTCATTATTAATACCCTGCATCAATTCTAGAATATTTTTTCTTTTATGTGATTTAGAAAAATACACATAAAGATTTCTTCATATTTTTCAAAATATAAAACTTCATCTGAAGCATCTTTTCCAGCCAGATGAAGCCTATGTGATACACAATGATTAGATGACATGAATGGATTCATTTTTTTAAGCCTTGCAGCAACACCACTTCTATAACCAATCATATTAGATGCACCATCACTTCCAAAATGAATTATTTTTTGAGAAGATATTTCATTATTGTCACAAAATAATCTTACTTGATTGAAAATATTTTCAGCAGTGGTAGATTCTAAATCAATCATTCCTAAATATCTCATATATGGTATATTATCTATCATATATTTTCCTACAATTGCTAGATATTTACTATTATCAACAGAGTTTGTCTCATCAATCAACACACTCCAATATGGAGATAAATTCAATTCTTCAAAAAGCTCCTTTTGTATAACAGAAACTATGCTTTCTAAAAACTCAAAACCAGATTTATCATTGGTATAGCTTCCATAAGTTGATTTAGATGATGATGGTTTTTTTATGGAAGCAGATTTTAAATTGGAGCTTTTACCACTGATTACTAACTCCTTTTGATTTTTGATTTGTAGTGACATTAAATCACATAAATCAGGATAAATATTCAATGAAATTATTGTTAATTTACATGTGCTCAATTGATTTGATTGAATTGATTGAAATTGTTCTGCTTCAAGTAATTCTTCAGATTTTTTGTGTTCTTTGGTTTTTAAGTGTTCTTTAATTCTTAATAATCTTAAACTAGATGTGCCTCTTGCAAATCTTGTTTCCCCATTTTGATTTCTACATATTTCACAATATAGGGTTGTTTCTTCATTAACAATTTCAACTCTTAACCATGGATATGATTTAATCCATTCAGGATCAATAGTTTTTCTATTATGTGATCTTTGTTCATCTCCATAACTCTCAGTTTTATCACTATTAATTGATTCATCTGAAGATATTTCAAAAATTTCCATTGGCTGAACTTGCATTGGAATATTGGAAGCTTTGCCAGAAAAATCAACTGAATTTGACATTTTAAATATACTAAACAAAAATTAACAAAATCTTTAAAAATTTTCAACAAAAAATTTGGTAATTAAATTTGATATAATTTTTAAATGATTGAAATTTGCAAATAAATAGCATTGTGGAATAATAAATCCTTCAATATTTGTTACGCAAAATACCCTATAAAAAATAAAATATGGAATTTCCATATGTTTTATACAGACATATAAAATAAATTACAGAATTTCAGTATTTTATGTACATTCTAAAAATTTTCCATTTTTTAAAACTGTAATGAAGGGTATGGAATTAATATGGAATTAATACGGAATTTGTAAGATATTGAAAAGGTCTTGTTTATGGTAACAATATGATTAACATTCTAAAAATAGTAGTATATATATATTAATATCTTTAATAATTCCTTGTTACCCTTGTAAAAACAATGATCTAATGTCATTATCTCTCTCATACTCATTTGTTTTCTCACATTCATTTCCTTATTAAAATAATTCTAATGGTTAACCCTTGTGAAAATAGAAATTCTAATGTCACAAAATTCCTTATTGAGATATAAAATTTGTAATTAATATAGTTGGCTTGGTCTAAAGGTCTCCTAAATTTTGTGCTAATTGTGCTATTTTATACAATTATTTTTACAAGTGAATTAAATAAATAAACATTTCTTCCTCTACTTATTAATTAACCTGATGTTTTTTTCACTTAGTCAAAAGTGACTTATTTTTGTAATGATTTTTAGGTCAATCATTTAAATAAAATGTCCTATAGTGGCAATCATCTAAAGACATCACCAGTCTTTAACTCAAAATCCTATATATTGATAAGATATCAATGGAATCCTCAGAATTTAAAAAAATGATTTCAGGATTGTGTTTTCTTCGCATCATTATGCCCTGTGTCACAAATTATGCCCCATGTCACAAATTACATCCCGCGTAAGGTTGTGGGCGAAACCTCTTAATGACTGTCAAAACTCTGTCAAAACTCTAATGAACAATTAATGTGTAACCTGT